TTTCTCTATATTGATCAATGGAAATCCATCTAGTTGGATCAAAGCAAGGAGTGGGTTTAATCAAGGTTGTCCCTTGTCACCTTATCTTTTTATACTTTGTTCACAGCTTCTTACTAATGGCATTATGGAGAAGGATGAAATTGGTGTTCAGATTAGTAAGAATGGTCCAAGAATTTCGCAGATGATATCATATTCTTTGCTGAAGCAAAACTTAAGAATGTGAAAGCTATTAAAAGCATTGTTAGCAGGTATTGTGAATGGACTGGCCAAAATGTTAATTCAAATAAGTCAGGAATCTTATTTGGAAAAGCAGTCAATAAACGGAAGAACAGGAAGATTAAAAGGATCATGGGATATAATGAAGTTAAGGAGCTTAATTATCTGGTTTCCAAACTGGCATTAAGGAGGCTTTCAAGGATGGATTTCAAATTCTTATTATACAAGGTACTAAAGAAGCTGAACAGTTGGGGTTTAAAATTTATTTCACTGGCAGGGAAAATAACTTTGGTTAAGGCTGTCATTCTTGCTCTTCCTTCCTTTCATTCCATGATATCTTTGGTTCCTAAAGCTGTACTTGGTGAAATTGAGAAACTCTGCAGAAATTTTATTTGGGACAAGTCCAATGAGGGATATGGCTTACATTATATAAGCTGGAATAAACTTTGTGATCCTATTGATTCAGGAGGCAGAGGTCTGCAGTCTTGTTCCAATAAAGTGGGTCCTTTAAGGGCCAAAATTGCCTGGAAATACATGAAATATGAAGAATCATTATTGCATAAAACTTTGTTTCCTAGATATGGATCTTGTTGGAAGGCTGTGAACAGAAATAATTCAAATTCTTCAGCTTAGAAGATAATTAAAGATGGAAGCAAATTCTTGAAGAAAATCGTGAGATGGGATATTGCAAACGGTAATTCAATAGATGTATTTGAAGATACATGGATTTTAGATAAAAGTCTTAACAGGTGGCCGACTTTTGTCAATTCCATAGAAGATGTGGATGGAGTTTTGACGGTGGAAAAGTTTATATATGGAAGTCATTGGAATTTGCCAGAACTGCATAAGTTTTTCGATAATGACCTAGTTGAACTCATCTATCAAATTGAAATTAAAACAGAGCTTTCTGAAGATCAATTTGATCTTATTCACATGGAATCTGGTAGAACTATCACTTCTATGGCAGCTGGAATAAATTCCTCTCCTTATTCTGATAAGACATTATGAAAATGGCTCAAAAAATCTAAATTGAATGCTAGAGTGGAGAATTTCTGCTGGAGACTTTTTAATAATGCATTGCCAACCAATTCGTTTTTAACATATAGAAGACTTCAAACCAATTCTTACTATCCTAGAGGCTGTCATGAAGAAGAGAATGTTTGTCATCTAACTTGTAGATGTCAAAAATTGGTTGAAGTCATTAAAATTCTGAATATGTGGGGCTTTCATATCCCGTTATTCAATGATAAGGAGGAGTTGTTTGGTTGGCTGGTCAGACAAAATGCTTTTCTTTCTAGCTTATTGTGTAATGCCGTCTATCTTAATTGGAAGGAGAGAAATGAGCTTATTCATGGGAAAAAAGAAAGGAGTTCTGTTTATATAGCTGCTGAGGCGGTCAGCTTTGTAGGCGTTTTTAATACTCCTAATTTCATCAATTCGGGCCGATTGGGTACTAATCAGCGTTTGATGTTTGAAGATCATTGGTACTCTCCTCCACCCGATTGGATCAAGGTGAATATAGATGCAACTTCATTTCCTTCTTATAGAGGAGGAGTTGGAGGTGTAATAAGGGACCACAAAGGAAGACTCATAGCAGCTTATGGAAGACCCGAAATGTATTGGGATATCACTTACTTGGAATTTCTTGCTATTGCCTCTGTTAAAGAAGTTTTCAAAGATCGGATGCAAGGATACAAAGGTATAGTCATTGAAAGTGATAATGTCAATATTATCAAATTCATACACAATAATACAAAAAAAGCCGTTAAAGGTATGGATAAATTTTCTTCGGTGGATAATTTTAATTTTGTTATTTTCAACTGTGTGAAAAGAGATTGTAACAAGTTAGCTGACCTTTGTGTTAACTTTGGTGTTTTTTCTAGTTTTTTCTTTTGGAAGACAATTTAATTGATAAGATTCCTCCTTCGTTTGTAAACATTTTGAAGGAGGAATCTTTAGCTTGTACTTAGTTGGGGCTCTTTTTCCCCTTTTTCTTTTTCTAGTTATGCTTATTGATTTCTTCAGAAAAAAAAACTCTTGTATACACTAGATTACCTTCCCTCAAAGTATTTTATCACCAAACAACTATGAACTATACAATATCTTACAAATCTTTGCTACATATAATATAAAAGTTTAGTATAAGTATTTCAAACACTGATATTGAGTTAGAGAAATTTACTCAGGACCTAATGATATAATCTAATGCAAGGTTTAAAATTGCGCAATTGGGAATTGAGGCGTTTTCGTTCGTGAGGCAAGGCGTAAGCCTCAAGGCGTTTTGAGCCGTAAGCCTCAAAAATTAAAAATTGCATAAAATCAAAATAAAAGTTAAAAGTAATTTTTTATATAATATCCAAATAATATGTTAAAAGATGACATATTAACTTTCTATTGAACAATGAAGTAACAAATTTACATACATATGAAATAAAAAACTATAGAAGATGCATTGTGTTAAGTGATAAATTATGTAAAATAGAATTGAAATCCAAATATTATAGGAACAAAACATAAAACATATGAACTGCATAAAAGTATCATATAACATCAAGTTCAGCTCAAATTTTTTTCTTTCTCAATTACCTACTCATCTATGTTTAATTCCTACAGAAAACTGAAACAATTAGCAACTTAGATATCATTTGTACTATCATTACTAAGGGAATTTTTATTTGAGTCACTATCATAACAAACTGGTCACTTGCCTGCTCATCATGTAAGGTCCAATACCTCTCAATCTGCTTCTTTTCATTTATTTTAGTCATCTTTATCTTTCATAAATGTTTGTTATCAACATAAAGATACTACAAAATTTTAAGAGATGGTGGTGGCATGCGGCTTTCAAGTGATCCTTTGTGGCAACTACAAGGATGGTGGCTATGATGAAGGCGGTGGGCTAGAGGACGAAGCAATTGAGAGGAAGTTGTTGCGGCTTGGGAGTGCAAGAAAGTATGATTTTTTTTAGGCTTTTGTATAGGATTTAGGTAAGTTTTAAATAAAAAACAAATAAATAGAGTGAGGCGTGCGCCTCATGCCAGAGAGGCGAGACGCACCTCAAGGCGGGCCTCATCCAAGATGAGGCGTAAGCCTCATAAAAAAACACAATGTGTAAGTCCCAAGGCATTTTTTACAGGAATTGCACTGAGGCGGACCTCAAGGAAAGCCTCATATTGCGCAATTTTAGACAATGATATGATGAACACTTGGAATTTTCTCCAAATGCTCATTCAATTTAGATCAAACTTTATATTTTTTCCTATATTCTTATAATGAAGAGTGGTGAATATTTATAAGCAAATTATGATGGCTAAATAATCCTTCAATAGATCTCTAGGAATCCTTAATTCTATTCTGAGAAAATTAGTTGTTATGCCTAAGCTATAGATGATCCTATATAAAATCTTCAGTCACAGTTAGATAATTTTTGTTTTGATCGTATGCTAGATTCACAAAATAGGCTCATTATTTGGATTATTTTAGCAAATTGTCTACACAATCTATGGATCATGTTTGACCCGAGTATCATGGACTACACATATGATCCCTAGTACTCTAGATGATGAATAAGTTGTCTAGATAATTTAAAAAATTATGAGTACGTATATAGAAAAGGATTTTAAATTTCAAATATTTTAAATACATTAAGCATGTCCTTATCTGACAAGCTGTCAGAATAGGAAAGGATTTCAAATATTTCAAAAAATTATGAGTAAATATATGAGTTAGCGGTGTTAAATGCAAAAAAATTCAAATTAATTAAGAATATAGGCCATCTGCCATTCAATGCATGTATAAGAAAGACTGGTAGTAGAAACAAATGCTGATAAAAAAATCAAAAGTAAGCAACAAAAAATAAGAAATAGCCAACCATCAACAAATAGATATAGTAGTATAACAAAGTTCCCCTTGGATGGTGCATTCTTATAGTAGTATAACAAAGTTCCCCATGGATGGTGCATAAGAATGCATTATACGTCTATCAACCAAAGAGCTCAACTGATATCATTTCTTAAAAAGGTTTCCAATGCAAAAATAAAGGATATTTTTGCTAATAATTAACCATAAGAAAAATATAAAGAGATAGTATGAAGACCTGAAGTATAAAAGAAAGGATTAAAAAAACAAAAAAATAAGTAGTAAAGATAAAAAGTTCTACTATCACAATCCCACCATACAATAAATAGCTCGAACAAGAAGACCAACAACAAAATCAAGCCTTTATCCTAATATGTATGATCGGCTATTTGAAACCTTTTTTCTCAAATTGTTATTTAAATCTAATAAAAATAGGTCATTTCTAATACTTTTTAATCAAGTGTTTTTAGGTCTACCTCTACCTTTCTTAACATGATCGGGATCTAATATATCTACTCTCCTAATTGGGTCATCGGAATGCCTACTTTTTATGTGATCAAATCATTTAGGGCGACTGCTACTAGAGCTACTCCAACCTTTTCAAGTATATACTTGTTTTGTATTTTATCTCTAAGTGTAAAGCCAATCATGACTCATCCACCAAAGCATGCTCATCTCTGCACCACTTAACTTAATTTTATGCTTCACATTATAAGAAGATCATGGAGCCTAACCAGGCAAACAAAAAATTCCGAAAAGATGGTCCGACCATCAAGCCGGCCTCTAAAAACATGTGAACACACAATTCATGAAACGATATAGAGTAATTACAACTAAAAATATGACTTTCACATAAAACGCAATAAGATAAACAAATTCCAGCAAGGGTATAAAAAATCGGAAAAGAAAAAAGTATGAGGGTTTACCATTGCGCAATCCAATGCTGGATTCGTCTGTGTTGATGATGTAGAGGATGCCCTCGTACCTGATTTCGCTCTTGGAGGTGAGGCTGATGAGGCTCCCGATGTAGGAGTCAGGCGAGGGGCTGGACATCGAAACGTCTGCCGCCGTGGATTTCACTTAACAGAGGAATACCAGATTCTTGCGCCTTACAGGGGAGAAAAGGGAGAAAACCCGCGTTCGAAATAGAGGCAATGGTGCGAATGTTACATTCGCTTTGTATTAATTTTATGGGTTTTTTTTTTTTACTTTTTTGTATATATACATTTAGGCAAATCTAGACAAATACATGCATACCATATATCCAAGCTTCTATCAACGAAAATTTATTAGGTCCGATCACTGGACGTAGAGATACGTCCGGACACCAATAAATTATTGACATGTAGAATGTACACATGTCCGCGGAATTTTAAGTCAAGCGCGTCAAAAGCGCAGGTAAAGCGCAAGTAATGTGCATATAAAGCGCAGGCAAAGTACATGTAAAATGTAGTCAAAGCGCAGTAAAAAAGTGCAGTTAAAGCGTAGTCAAAGTGCACATAAAGCGCAGTTAAAGCACAATCAAAAAGCACAGTCAAAAAGCGCAGTCAAAGTGCAATCCACGTGGCAAATTTTAATTGGATGTCCGGACCTATTTTTAGGTCTGGTGACCGGACCTAATAATTCCTCCTAATCAACACATCTTAAAAGCTCTCAACCAACACATCAAGATGTGATGCACAGGAATATTTTATTTTTTTTAGGAATATTTTATTCCTTTAATTAAAAAACAACATATTCTCCTTAGCCACAACTCAAAAGAGACATGTTAATTTACAAGAGAACTTGACTCACATAGGTGACAATGATTTAAGAACTCATCTTAACCAAGGTGGATACCACCTATCTATTGGTCCGAGCAACTACTATCTATGAAATCATCCATGGCAAATAATGAAGATGACTTCGAAAGGCAACCTATTGATTGGCTACACAACTATATATACACACCAAACTAGTGATTTCTTGAAGAGCTTGGTAGACGATTTCATCAAATTAGACCTTTCAATCAAGCTACAAAAGAAAATTATATTCTCTTATTTTTTTTATAGCCATATATGTAATCAATTAAGTAAAGCTCAACCTCGACCCAAATTTCTAAATAGAAGGTTCATGGGTGAGCTTTGTTTACACAATTTTATGCAATTTTTCTATAAGACAACAATGTACTCCGGCTTTTTTGAATGAAATCTCATAACATTTTAATTAGGTGTTAAGCCCATTATCTCTTTGTTTTATATTCTTCTTTTGCACTTAGTATTTGGTGTGTTTTATGGAATATTACGGATTCAACATCTCAAAATTTGCAATGAGCATGGAGCATGCCATAAACTAGAAGTGAAGAACCACGTGAAGCAAAATAATAGCAATTATGTGATGAAGAATCCGTCAACATGGGGAAAAAAGAGTTCATGACTATTCTAAAGCTTGTTGATCTGAAGGAAATGATGACTCGAATGATCAACGGTGTGCTAGAGAGAGTTTCAAGAATCAATCATAAATTAGAGATGCTTGAAAGATCCTTTGTTCTATAGTAAGGAGAAGACTCCATGGAGCTTCTCCATGGAGCCAAAGTCTTGACCTCTAATCCAATCATTAATGGGACATATTATCCTACAAATAGGAGTTGATTCTATATCTTTGTTAGGGAATCAGGAGAATTGAGAAGAAGTCATCACTAGTTAGCCTTCATAGGGGAGATTGCAGAGCTTAACCCTCTAGTAAAATTTAAAATCCCTCACATGGATTTATATAAGGGAAAGAAGGATTTTGTTTTCCAAGTTATTTACTTTAAATTGACTATCTTGAAGTGGAATACACAAAATTTTTAGGTAAAATTTAAAAAAAAAATTAAAATTATACCTTAAAATATCAACTTTCATCAAAATTACCCAATAAAAACTCATTGTGTTCTATTGTCAATTAAAGAAAATTATGCAATATCTTAGTATGTTAAATTCCAGTGAATATATTTATATTTAGTTGATGTTGTGAGAGAACTTCTCAAAAAAATGGGAAAATATACAAGTATTAAACTGTTGCAATCCAGGATCCATAGTATGTGATTTTGATAATGACAAACATTATTGATTAAATTGTTGATTTTCTCATTGAATATGTTAGATTTTTTTTTGTTTGTGAGTACTATTTCATATAAGATATACATTGCTCAAGGCTACTGAAAGCTCAAGAATAGGTAGAATAGGAATGTCAAGTAAATAAAGTCTATAATTTTACTTTTTTTATTTTCTATTTTTTTAGTCTTGCCACATAAGAGTGTATGCAATTGGGTGACCGTGCACACACACAGGGGGAGTGAGATAAATTTTAAAAGTTAAACTTTTTTGTATTAATAGTATTGTATGACTTATATTCATACTATACAATCAATGTAGAAAGAATGGGCTTAACACCTAATTAAAATTTTTGTTTCTATGACATAATCGAACTATACGATCTAGATCATATTGTACGATTCGTTACAATTTGAAAACCCTAGCCATCAGATGAATTAAGTAACATTTTAAATTTTAATTTTTTAACTAATAATACTATATTATCTGATTCTTACTATACAAACATTTAAAATCTTACTTAAATTAACTTATATAATTAGTCAATCAAATTATGATTTATGTTGTGATAGCAAATCATATTATATGATATTGATAATACTAAATGATTTCAAGATATAAAATTTGGCCATCCCAAAGATCATACCAAATGAAACCATAATTTTGTAACTAATCATATTGTACGATATTCATATCGTACTCGACAACCTACTTTAAATTAACTAACTGTATTATATGATGATAACAGTATAGGAAAACTTATAGAGATAATTTATAATCATCCTAATAATCGTCTTGTATAAATAAGAGACAAAAACTAACCGATCATATTGTATAATGTGTTCAAAAAGTTGAATAGTTCGTCTGAACAACTGTTTACATTGTACTGAACAGGTCTAATCTTTAAACTGATCATAATGTACAAACTCAAATCATATTGCACGAACATTGACGGCTAACTTAAAATTTTAGGACTTCTTGAAGCCCAATACTTAAGAATTTTTTATATTTCTCTTTTTAATGGTGAGATGATTTTGTGTCTGCTGAAGGAACTCTAAGGAGGAGCTTTTGAGTAATCCAAGGTTTGAGAGGAAGGAGAAGGGTGAGGTTGAGCATGAGAGAGGAGCGTTAGGGGATCACATAGTTGCTTCGGGCTATCTACACCCTTCTCCTCTTGTGGCCTTGGGGATTCTTAAAGGCTCTCTTGGCAGAGAGGCTTCTAGGTCAAGTCCTCGGGGTACTCTTCCTTCTCCAAAAGGGAGAAAAAGCAACTGAGGTTCTCTGTCTTCTCCAGAAAGGAGAAAAATGAGTCAAGGTCAGTTATCGTCACCAGGACGGTGACATACCGTCCGGCACTCCTCCGCATCAAGTTATGTGAAAGTCAATATCTAAGGAGCTTCTCCACCTTGCTGTGGGAGCAAAAAGAGAGTCAGTTAGTTATTAGTGCAATACCCAGAGTGGAGGACTCCGAGGAATGGACATAGGTCAAGGTTGACCAAACTACTATAAAAATCTTTGGTGTTATTCTCCTTTTTGAACTTTATTTTTCTTGCATTTTATTTATGTTATAACTCTTTGGGAAAATAGGTGATTAGTGTTTAATTTCATAAATTAAGAAATAATTGTAGTTAAATAAATATTTTTAATGAACTCATTCGCTTCTAAAAATAATTAAAATCTGGTATTTTCAATTTATGAAAAATTTTCAAACATACTATCATTATTATTTTAAAGTTGAAAAATCTTTTAAATTACAAATTCACCCCCCCCCCCCTTCTCTTATTGAGCCGCAAGCTAGTTCCATAAGGTTTAACAACATTAAAAAACTTTCAAGTGGTATTAGAGCGGGTTTCAAAATTAAGGTTTTAGAAAACTTTTGAAAAATGATCAATGGTCTCATTTTGGTAATTGTAACACTATAGAGGGTTACTCAATAACTCGTCCACCATTGTTTGAAAATATTCCTTTTAATTTGTGAAAAATATATATGAATGCTTTTTTATAATACATTGACTATATAATTTGGCATATGATTCAAACTGGCTATTCACTTCCATCGCATATAGTTAATGGTGTCAAAACTAATATTCCTTTTCTGAACGAAGTTAAGAGGATAGGGAACTAGCATAGCTAAATGTTGAATATTAGAATTATTTCTGTTGTGCTTTAAAATTCAAAGATTATAAGTGAGTTTTTATATATACTACGGGGAAGGAGATTTGGGATAGGTTATGTACCACTTATAAAGGAACTAGTGAAGTTAAACAATCTAGACTAAAGATTTTATTGCATGACTATGAACTCTTTCACATGAAATCTAGCGAGACTGTATCTAAAACGTATGTTGCAAATCTAGGATCCCTAGCATGTGATTTTCATGTTGACAAATCTTATTGATTGAATTGTATATTCTTAAAGATGTGTTGGATATTGTATGTGTCTTGTGCACAAACGATTGTATGTACAATACTCAAGAATAATAAAGACTCGAGATTGGGTAGGTTAGGATGTCATGTCAAAAGAGTATGTATTTTTATTTTCTTTAATTTTCTATTTTCTTGAGTCTGACCATATTAGAGTATGCAATTGAGTGACCGTGCGCACACACATAAGGGTAGTGAGAAATTTTTTTTAATTAAAGTTTTCTAAACTAATTGTACTGTATTATTTAAAATCATATTGTACGATCGGTTAATTTAAAGATTGGCTAAATAGCTAATTAAAATCTCATGTTCTATGAACTAACTGTATTGTATGATTCGTTTCATTATCAAAACCCTAGTCTCCAAATTTATTTAAGTAAGATTTTGAAATTGATTTTTTGAACTAATCTACTGTACGATGTTAATCGTATTATACAAAAATTTGAAATATTACTAAAATTAACCCCCATAATTAGTTAATTAAATTATGGTTTAATTAATGATAGTTGATTGTACTGTATGATGTGGATTGTACCAACGACTGATAGAGATGAAATATGGTTGTCTCGGAGATCGTAGCAAATAAAATTATGATTTTTGACTAATCATACTATACGATGATGATCATATCAAACGAATGGCATAGATGATTTTGATCATCTAAAAAATTATAC